GAGAGAGAGAGAGATCTACTGGGTATTGTGATGGGTGGGTAGATAGATAGATGGATAGATGGATAGATAGATTGATAGATAGATTGATCGACAGATTTGGTTAGTAGACTTACTCCGCGAGTAATTAGTTATTAACTTTGTTGATCTACCTAGGTACTTCGCACATAGATATATACTCTACGGAGGAAGTGAAATCTTTTTTCGGGAGATTCTTTTGAAGGGGAGGTAAGTATGTAGATGGGTGGATAGGTAGGTATTTGTTCTTTTCTATTTTATATGTTTTGTTATGTTATGTTACATCATGCTCTACTATACCGTTCATTGTTATCTTCATCGGTACTTACTTACCTATCTATTTATCTATCTACCTGGTATTGGATAAACAGGATATTTACTTCGTCTTCTCTCCTGATTTCCGCTTATCTGGTAGTGGATTATCTGCTAGTGGAAAAATTGGGATCGGAGGGGAGGAGGGGGACGATGACGATGGCGCTGCCTCTTGATGACTTTGCCGTGACACGATAATAATTTAGTATCGTCTTATCGTCCAGAGCTGAATCTGGGTTCGGATTTGGATTCGAATCTAATCTGGATTCGCGGTATGGATAAGTGAGAGGTGTGGTGTGAGCGCTGAGCATCACGTCGGAGTTCCCCAATTGAAATTGGGCTAGAATGGCACAAGAGAAAGATTCCGCATGCGCAGCGGAGCTTTCATTCTCTATCTAGATTGGCGGCATCTGGATTTCTTTCCATCGAAAATCAACGTAGCCATGTATTCCCAAAGAACGTAAACCACGAGTTGCTTTTCGCGAACAATGAGTGCCTGGCATCGAGGCTTTCTGGACCATGCGAGAAGTAGACCATGCGTAATGCAGTAGAGCAGAAAGGAGACCCACGAGATCACTCAGCAGCCGGTAACGCAAACGCCCAAAGACCATGCAATATGCAAAAGAGCAGGAAAACCAAACCCAAACGGCCCCCGGACATGCAAATACAACACCCCTGTTTGCGGGCTCATTTCCAAACCGAGTATTGAAATCTGCAAAGAACTCGCCTGTCGGGATTTGTCACAAAAACACCGGCGCTGAAGCAAGACAAAACGTACTGTGCCAAAAGCTTTGGGGATGTTGAGAATAGCCCGCCCGTCGAAAATAAACGTGAGCGCATCCAGTTGATGCCGTTACCAAGTGCAATCAGGTACTTCTGCCCTAAAGGCTCTTCTCTAATGCGACGAGCTCGCTGAAACTTTCCTTCCACTTGGCGCTCTCGTCGCTGGTCGGGCGCGGTAGGGGACTCCGTGCATATCCGCCGTAGCCCAGCCAGCTCTCCATGCCAGACTTGGTAGACACAATGCCACCCTGGATCGCCGCCCAGTCACCACGCGCAACAACCTCCTGCAACTTCTGCGCTTCGGCCAGCTTCCCCTCCCGATACAAGCGCAGGATCTCAATACAGGCCTTGGGCGCGATATTCGCGAGACCGGCAAGGATACCGTGACCGCCGCCAATCAGGCTCTGCAGGGTAAAGTCTGCACTTCCTCCCAGTACCAGGAACGACGGAGCAGCACTGAGCGAGTGGGGCTTGGCGGACTTGGTTGCTGCTACAATTCGGTTCAGCTTTCCCGTGTTACCGCAGGTCAGCTTGACACCGACAATGTTCGGGTGGGCCGAGAGCCGAATGATGAGATCCGAGGAGAGGTCCATTCCGGATACAGCGCCGGGGTAGTTGTAGATCAGGAGCGGGATGGGCGACTGATCTGCGACGGCGTGGAAGAATTCGATGACGCTGGCCGAAGAGGGGGAGAAGAGCGGGGCGTAGTAAGAAGGGGGAAGGATCAAAGCATAATCGCCGCCAGTGGCATATGCTTCCTGGCAGTACTGGATCGTTTCGCGAACCGATTGAGTACCGCAGCCTACAAGGATGGGGAGATGGGCGAAGCCTGCTGCATTCAGGGCAGAGCGCGTGGTTTGTGTGACGGTCTGGCGTTCGGAGTGGGTGAGGTGGACGGCTTCACCATTGGAGCCCTGGGTTGCGAGGCCGGTGACACCCGCTTTGGCCAGACGCACGGCATGCGTGCCTATGGTAGCGGTATCGAGGTCTTCGGTGACGGGATCGAAGAAGCAGACTGTCGGGACGTAGATGCCAGGGACCAACGGCCGGGATACTCCACGGTCGTCGGTGTCAAGAGAGGTACTGCTGTTGTAAGAGGAGCCTTTCTCATTTGTTGGAGCCTCGGAGTAGACGCTATTGTTGTTGCTACTCGAGCTCTGAAGGCCAGAGCCCGGTGCAACAGGGCGGAAAGACATGTTGAAAGATTGAGTAAAGCTTCTGGCGGGAGAAGGGGCGTCGCTGTGAGGAGACATGATGCTTGGTGGGCGTACCGCTCTATATACCGTAGCAGCTAGGAGGTATGTGAATGACGGTCGTACTAGTAGGATAGTGCAAGCCGATTCGAAACTAGGGTTGACTTTCCCAAGATCCGCCTTTGTAATGGATCGGAAGGGTTGAAATGAATGGGAGAAGATCTAGTGAAGATTGAAGTAGAATATATATAAGTAAGTCAGAAACAAGGTTAGCAAAAACAGAGCGAGCTTAAAGAGGCAGGCAAGGTAGTGATGAGTAAGGAGGCGGTTGTGTTGCCTTGTTGAACAGTTTTATTTTTGGCGGGGGATGGATGGGGAGGGGTTGACAATGGAGGGACGTCCTTAGGCTAAGATTAAGTATGAATACCATTGTCCCTAGGGTGGCGCATCTATGTATATGTAGCAGTAATATATATACATGTATATACGGAGCATATGTCCGAAAAAGTAAATAATATACATATATCTGTATATGTTTCGGCGAGTTACCGATGTGGTGAAGCCGGGAAGGGGCGAGACCATGATGCGTCGTTGTGTGGGGGTGGATTTGCCTCGCACCGACCGGACAACAAGACAACAGGAGAGGAGAGGAGGCCTCGTGGCATTGGGTTCAGCCGCCTGCAGCGCTTGTGCATTTCGCTTTGATGCCGGATCTGTGCGCAATAGGTATGGCGAGATTCGCTGGCGCGCGGAGCTGAGACCGGCAGCTGACCATTGGCAACGACGTTACACGTTACGTGGAAGCGTAATTGATGAATGGATGAATGAATGAATGAATGTTAGAGGCAGGCCAAAGAGGGAGAGGAAGTGTGCTCTGGTTGTGCATGGTGAGATGCGTGAGATGATGAAGATGCGATGATGGAAATGAGAAGATGAGAAGGGGAAGAAAAGAAAACAAAAGAAACTCCGAAAGAGAGAGCCAAGACCCGCCAATGCCAAGCTGACAGTCACGGGACTGCCGACCTAGCCCGCGTTGCCGCGTTGCGCTACGGTCGGTAGCCAACTACGTAGTACTGACTAAGTACTGTACAGGTAGTAAGTAGTACTACATGTAATATGTGGAGATCCGAACGACAACTCTCTTCTTCCCCAGACTTGGACTAATTCCGTGATACCCTCATCAATACCAACTCCTCCACAACTGAAGTCACTCTGGTCATTCTGCTCACTCTGCTCACTCTGCTCACACTGCTCACTCTGCTCACTCTGCTCACTCTGCTCACTCTGCTCACTCTGCTCACTCTGCTCACTCTGCTCACTCTGCTCACTCTGCTCACCCTGCTCACCCTGCTCACTCTACTCACTCTCGTCAATCTGGTCATTCCGCCCGTTGCAAGATTTCTTGTCACCCATTATTACATATTACATATTCCCTTTACCGTGTCAAACCGACCAACGAGGCGTGGGGGTTTGTTTTGCCTTCGCCGATCATCCCAGGGCAGGGCCCAGTATCATGGGGACAGAAATCCCACGCTCTCCAGAATCTTGGCCATGGCGTTCTCGACTTCCGGACTGAATACGCATGTTACTGTTACATCTGGCAGAGCTGCTTAAGAGGCGCTGCGGTATCCTTCGATCCTCCCACGCACGCACCTTCTTCTTCACTTGAAAGTACCCGCTCCTGTAGAGCTACCGTATATGCTGAATTTTGAGCATCCATTCTAACCTTCCGAACTAGACAACATCACCGAACATCACCGAACATCCACAATTTCTACTTCCGACAAGCTGACACCGACCGGGTCCGATGATGTTATTGAAGAAAGGAGATGATGCATGTGTCGTTTTTCAACCCCCTCTGCATTATAAGCGGATAGGTCAGCAAAAGATTACATCCGCCCCAACCAACCCAATAGCCCCTTCTCATGCGCCAGCTCTAAGCCTTGGCGTAACACCTCCGACCCTTGTTTTCCTCTGTGCACATAAGCAATACGCTCAGATTGGGTTTCGATGAAATACAAAGTATATTTGCGGCTTCTCAAAATTTTCTGCGTTTGATTTTTACGTTTGCTGCTTTCGTGACTACCCTTTTTTTCTCTTTGTTTTTCTTTCTTTCTTCTTTTTTTTGTTTCCAGTTTTTTCTTTTTTTCTTTTCTTTCTTTCCTTTTTTTTTCTTCCTTTTTTTTCTTCCTTTCTTTTTTCTTTTTTTTTTCTTTTTTCTTTTTTTTCTGTGCCGAGCTGAGATCATTTCTCTGGGGAAGCGTTCGCAATGTCCTCTTCTCTTCGTTAGACTCTTTGAATTTACGTGGGGGTCTATTACTCCAGATTCGGAGCTTCGCCGATATTCTCCTGTAGGGGATGTGGGGGGTCGAGAGGATTCTAGCGTGTATCGATCGGCTTGACCCACTGGCCTGCGCTTGTCGAACACACGAGAATTTCGAACTTGAAGCGGATAGCACGGCATCACCTAGATGGCAACGACCGATATGGATTCAACGTTGGGAACAAGTGGGCTGAATACATGCCTTCGGTGCGACTTCTCAATGGAAGTCCCCACTCTCGCCTCCAACACTCCACGCTTTGACATAGTCGCGAGACTACCTGTAGGAGGCTCTCTCGTTGTACTGTATCTGTACGTTATTGAAGTGCCCAGTGCGTATATCAACTTCAGTTCCCAACAGTTTCACCAAACAGCAAAAAGGGGCACCACCACCGACAATCTCAATCTACGCCTTGAAGACTGACTCGAATAGATTCAGCCTCTCATGGATATTGTCGTTGAATATCCTCTTTTCTTTTCTTTTCTAAGTCAATGCCGTTCACTAATCTGTAGATCCATTGCCAAGTACATCTGGAAGAGGACTTAGGCGAAACTCAAATCTTGCCAAGACTTCATCCCAACAAGAATGGTCTACTCTCAGCAACACGTCTTTCCACACTCTGGGTTTCGATTACGTCTGTCCGAAATATAATTCAACCTCGTAACAGCGCCTTCATCGCCTCTCTTTGTTGCTCACCCTGTTAAGCCCACATATCGCCCGCTTAGTCTAATTTCTAATAATTCGCTGCAGTTGCAACATGGCCAGTTGGCGACGTTCAACTCCATAGTATCAACAAACCCACGCTTACACAGAACTACAATGCACGAGAAGAAAAATTTACCATCATTATTTCAAGGGAAAATTCCACAAGTTTCTGCAGATAAACACTTTCCACCACCTCACGTTTCAACGAGCCATATTTGCCGATACATATTTGAATTCGCCTGAGCACTCAATTAGACAGGTACCGGTACCTTCTACGAAACATTCCCCGCCAGACGCATATCGTATCACACACGCTAGAAAATCAAACCCCCAAATTCTTTCCCTTATATGCATGCTGCTGTACAGCAATGTGATGAGCAAGGGGAAAGAGCAGCCGAGTTCGTACACCATTGTACGCTTGCGGGCTTCAGAACTGGACAAGCACTTGATCGTCGTGAGAGGGAGACTTCGGGACTATAGTTGCTCTGCTAGCGTCACTTTCAAAAAGCTTCTGCGTAACATGGAGTATGTGGTGTGTTGACTCGCTTCAAGACACCGATGCGTGAGTGAGATAAGAGGAGGCTGTTATGGCGGAAGCGAAGTGCGAGTACGGTACACAATATTGTCTTCTACGCCTGTATGGCACTAAAATAACCCACAGTTTCATGACCATGCTCTGAACGATTTAAAGACTTTGGAATGGGCATTTCATACAAACTTATGTTATAGCGGTGGAGGAGCTATCTTTAAACACTGTTTTTTTTTTTCAGACTTTTACCCTCTGCTTTTCTCCTCAGATCCCAAAGTGTTATTGCTCGTCGGCCCAGGAAGCTCGTCCTCCCCTTCAGCTTCGATGATCGGTCCGTTGTAGAACTTGCGACCGCTCACGTACCAGTAGATATTGGAAACGCCCAGGATGAGAGCCAAGAAAGCGGCAGCGTAGTTCATCTGTATAACGAGTTCAGTTTCTCGGTCACTGTGAGAGAGGTGTGGGTGGAGTGGAGCTCAGGCTTACGTTGAGAGCAGTCACTGGCCTGACAGTCGGCAAGATGAAGATGACGGTGACGAAGATCGTCCAGAGACAGGCGTAGGCGTTGACGAAGAGGCTCGCCTTGCCCATGTGCCAGGGTCCCGGCTCGAACTTTTCAAAGGCAAGCTTGCAGAAGATGGGGATGCAGTAGCTCCAGTCGAGCGCGATGGCGCAGACGTTGAAGACGCCGGCTATGGCAATATATGAGCCGAGGGCGATGAGGTTGATGGCGATGCACCAGAAGACCGAGATCCAGACTGCGTAGAGTGGGGTACCGGTCCTAGAGTTGAGCTTTGTCCACACGCGTGAGAAGGGAAGGAGGCGATCACGGGAGAAGGCGAAGACGGTCCGTCCGAGGGATTGCTGTGTGCACGTGTTGGCTTTGCAGAATAATACTTGGGCTTGTAGAGGAGGAGGGGGAGGAGGAGGAAGAGAGGTGGCTCGCCTACCATAGCCGTGAAGCAAACAAACTTGAGAATGATGAATCCGCAGACAGTGTAGAAAATACCGCCCGATTTTCCAAGACTGTTGTAGAATATTTGGCCGACAGGCTGGAAAGTGACAGTACCAAGGACATCTGCAGGCTCCCCCATACAGAAGCAAAGAACAATGTTGAAGAGGAATCCTGCGACATATGTGAACAGCATAGCAGCTGAGATGGCCCATGGTGCCTTCACCTCCGGCTCATCGATCTCCTCCGTGATGTGTGCAGTAGCATCGTAGTCCGTCATAACCCACGAGACGGACAGGAAGCCGAAGAGATAAGAGAAGCCAACAGGCGTCCATCCGGAAGTCGAATCGACGTGTGTGAATACATATTTGGCGGAGTGCTTGTTCTCGGTTTTGGCCAGCAAGGCGATGCAGCATGTGACCAGAACGAGAACGTGGAAAATAACGTAGGTCTTGGTCATCTTTTCCATCCACCAGGTGGACAACGAGTTCACTAGCCCAGTGAAGACGATCAGGGCTGCCATGACTCCGACGGTTGCATTCGTCGTAATCTCATACTTGAAATCCGAACCCATGGCGACCGCAGCCAACAGCATCTGAGCGGCGCCGTATTCCGAAGAAGCAACGCCCGCGACCTATAGAAGGAGTGAGCATTGCGATTGAAATATCTGATAGGAGACCAAGGAACTCAATATCCAAACTGGTAACGAAGCATAGATCAAAGCAGAATATACGATGCAATGACGAGGGCGCAAACCTGTCCAAGCAAGTTGATCCATCCCACCACCCTAGCCGATTTTAGCATTTTACTACGGTAAACCAGCTATGAAGTACTTACCACGAGACGGAAGGAACCCAGTCCTCAGGAGCTAGTCTAGATATGGTAAAGTACCTGGAAGTAAAGTCAGATCTCAACGCGATGACAATCGAGGATAGGGGGTCGTACAATCCCCCAGAAGTCGGATAGGCAGAGACTAGCTCAGCGACAGAGCAGGCGATACACATGCACCCAGCACCGGATATCAGCCAACACCAGATAGCGGCTGAAGATCCTCCAGCATATAGCGGATAGGAAAATGTAGTCATGATGGTTGCGAATAATCCACTGATACTGACAGCAAAGGAAAATGTCGACAGATAGCCGAATTCTCGTTTGAAGACAGGCTTATAGCCGAATTGCGCAGCGAGATGAGCATCGGATTCGTTCATTTCTGCAAGATTGGTGGATCTGCGTTGGCCATCGGGGCCAGTGATCTCGACAAGGCCGCCCTTCTTCCGGGAGTGAAGACCATCGTGGACACCCTGCGCAACTGCAGTATCATACTGTATTTCGGTCATGCTGTTAGTCTGGGATCAGGACTGTCGCGATTGTTTTGACGACAACTTAGTGACAACAAGTAAGTGCTGGAGAAGCCCAGGGACAGCAGAATTCGAGAAGGCGAGTGAGACGTGTTTTGTAGAACCTCAGAGCTGAAGTTGTACAGCCTGAAAGACATGGGTATGAATCTACTTTGAGATAAGAGCCTGTAAGGGCAGCGCAAGTCATCGGAACATGGGAGGAATACATCCTGGCTGAAGTCCCCTATCATCTATGATTCCTATCATCTACGATATCTTAGCTCGGGAGAGGGCTGACTTCTGGGAGGGACTGGGGAGATGGATTGGCAAGGAATCGGGGTAGAAGGTCGGGGTCTCGAATGGAAACCGTGAGTTGAGATAGGCAATTAAGCATATGCATGGACTGATAGCTCAGGTTGTACCAAATGATTAAGTTAAACCATAGCCAGTGGGAAGAAATTAGCAGCAGCCATTGACCAACCCCCACCGGCTTAGAATGTGGTAAGCTGGGAAGAAAGATGCCATTCAGTGAACATCAAAGCTTGTTTCAATCGATCAGATTAGGAGTATCTCGCATACCCTGAGTTCGAAGTTCTGTAGATGGGGGGACGTCGTCGTCGATGATACTAATACCTGGGGTAATGTCTAGCGTGCAGATGCGCCCTAGCGGAAGCTTGTGTGACAAGCGAGCTTTGCAAAGGTCTCTCTCTATTCTGATCCTTTAAATTTCATCTCTACCCCCTTCTACTCTCTTAATCGAGAACAGCTTGATCAGTTCGTGAAGTCACCTGTTGGCGACATGACATGATTTCTCACAAGATTCTTATTCTCGCAAGCGGAATCGTGAGAGATCGGCATCATAGCAATATTTTAATGGACTCTCTCTCGCCTACCAATTACTAAAGTTCGTTAACTCACTTGGATTTCCCAAAGGCCCCTATGGCGCATCAAGCTCCATAGCCTCTCCTGCACTCAAAAACGCAATCTATTCAGAATCCAGAATCGTATCCAACCCGTGCGCCATAGGAATAACTGTAAGATCCCCAAATCCCCTCCCAACAACCTCCCGCACCAACGGATCACTCTTCGGATCGACATTTCTCGTAGCCTCATCTAGCACGGTGCACCAGCTTACTCCTATTCGAAGTAGCTCTCGCAAGATATAAAAGCTGGCGTTGACCGTGTGGGTTTGTGACCAGTACGCCTTTAGAGACGATCCGCTATCAGCCCTTTTTCGGGTACGTTGAGAGAGTACTCATGGGAAGAACGATTGGAAGTCATCTGATTAACGATACTGTAAGTGCCAAGAGAGTCAGGACATTCGAAAACTTAAAAGAAGGAAAGGGAAGTATATAGCAAGATATTAGATATAGCCAATATATATATATATTTATATATTGACAAGGGACGGGGTTGAGACGGTGCCGAAGGTATAGTATGTGGTAGGTGAGATTGTATAGATGCACTCAGACAGGAATGACCAAGGGCTCAGAAATTGGAAAGTGCAGAATATTCGAAGATGTGAATGATATGTGAACTTTCATGATCATGATATAAGAAGTAGAATTTGCCAAAAGAGGTCCGACTGGCACAGCGAAGCTGCTCATTCAAGCCACATACTTGTAACTTGTACTACGTCGCAGGCGTAAGTATTACCCCTCGAGGG